AGCCAGCCAATCAGATTAGCTGGAAGAATGGCTGACTGCTACTGGTTGTCGGGTCCTTCCGCTTCTAGATCCGCCACGGGGACCCGCCAAGACCCTATGGATTTAAGATCTATAGCCATAGCCAACCCGCGGGTTCAGACTAGAGGCCCACAGCCTGTGAAGAAACGGGTCGGCTCAACCCCGTGAGTGGACCCAATTGTTTTGGCGAGGCCTATTAACTAACGACCTACGTCTCGTAGTCAAAGCGGCAGACGAAGTACTTCCCTGTTGGGTATAGAGTCCGACAAACTTGTATGGTAGCGTCTTCAGTTCTGCTTACGCATAAGTTACGTGAGATGCGCCGGCGATCACGGTTGATTCCGTTACCCCTTTGAACCTAGTTCAAACCAGGCAGTTGTTTTAGCCGGTGGATATCAAGATATTTAACCTACATTCGGCAAGGTGTCCCCTGCGAATCATATCAACGTGTATTGTGTTATCCCCACTGGATCATATATTGGAATTGGTGCTTGCAATCCTTCATCAACTCAAACTTTGTATAGTATGGCATTGGAACATCGCCGGTGGAAATTTAACAGACGGAGGGAATGTTATAGAATCGTACAGCATACCCGCGGTTTTGCGGGACTGCTGAGCGGATACTAGCTTATTGGCCAACTGGCATACTACGTTCCATCGGTTATTGGGAGCATTGACTCGAACGATGACCATTGAGCATCTGACATTCCTCATTTTAATATTACATAAAGACCCCATGCTAGTCCAGTAGCTTATTGTGAGGTGTGACGAATCGATCTGTGCCCCCTCCATCCCCCCACGCACGCGCACAGTCCTCCAGCTGCGCCCAACCCATGGCGGACGAGAACGAGTGCCCCACCAGCCGTCGTGTGAAGAAAGAAGACTCCATCTTCTTCACGGCGTACTCCCAGTCCGTGGTATACTCCTTGAAGAACGGTCGGTAGCCCAGTAGACCCCCAATCCAACGCCCCACAATGATTCCGCCCCAGTACCCGATCTTCTTCCGCAACCAATTCGGTAACCAAGCTGGGGGCAGGAGATATGCATCGCCTGCATCGTATGTCTATTCACGCCAACCCGTTAATTTGCTGTCGGTTTGAGGAAGGGTAGCAGTTGTTGGGGAAGAGGGGGGGGGG